AAGCTTGCTGTGCTGCTTCAGCAGATGCAGTACTGCTGCAGTCATCGGCCTTTGTCACCGACAGATTTTGAGGCAATACGTACATCCGACAAGCGCCTGCTATCGCGCACGACAGCACTTCGACGCGGTGGATATCTCACCGAGTACGTGTTCAGCAAGAGCTGTATCAATTTCCAAGTGGATGATTTTAACGGTAACATTGTCCGTGTACTTGCTAAACCACCGCTTCGATTCTACATCCCGTCGCGAGGGTGGTCTGAAGAAGCGCTCGGCGTTGCTGCCCAGTTCTTGGCGAGCTACGCCATAATGGAAATTGATGACCAGCCGAGCTCAGGCTGGCCTGTCGAATTGGAAGCGCAGTATTGTCCGTGTCGCTACCACTTCAAAATGCGAGACTGTGTACATCTTCAATTTGCACTGCAATGCCGCAACTATGTAGACCGTGACGGCGAGCGCCTAATGGTGATTTTCAGTAGAAAACGAGGCTTAAATGTGGCTACCAGCGACGGACTTCCCCAAACGGTAGGGCGTCCAAGACATGCAGGTCATGCCCTTCATTGGGAATAGGTAGCACGCCCAAATACACACGCATTGATTAATCAATCACTACCAGCATCAATGTTGACTACAGCCACATACTTTTTACTTGCAACAGCCTTACAGGTACCTTCCCCATCAACTTGTATGCATCTTGTCTTTATGGAGGCGGTCCCGCCAATCCAGCACTTACGTTTTCGTGGAGCGGTGGTATGCCACCAGCTCCAGCATCCTCTCGGTAGCGGATCTCGTCACACCAGCACTGGCAGTCTCGCACTATCCTCTGCAGTCACGCCGACAGTAGGGACAGCCTCGCAATTCTTCCTCTGTAGCGGCAGCCACACCTATGACACCGGCAACCTCAAAGTGCCCTCTGCAGCGGTAGTGTACACAGCAGCAGCGGTGCCTCGCAATGTCTTATTAAGTGTCAGATACGTCACCAGTGGCTGTGGGCTTAGAGTGAACCACTTGCCGCAGAGATATTTCTTGGGTCGTTCCTCGTGTCCCTGTTTCGCGGGTTGGCAAGCGATACGGGCTATTCCAAGGCATGTCCTTGTACGTGTGCTGAAATGCATCTTGCTGTGTTTGTCAGACATTTTACTGTGATTATGATATTTTATCCTTATATTTGCTCCCCCAAAATTGGGTAGACTTAGTCCGTTTGCTTTTCTTAATTTTTAAAAAAACAAATTGCTTAAAAGGTTATTTCACGTGTTCAACATTTGAAAACGCTAGCACCATAACAGCATCGACTCCGATAATTGGTGCTGATGCAATTCAAGGTTGCATTTACGCGTCCATAGCCTCCAAGCAGTAGCGTACCACCGATCCTACGTGCCAAACCTGAAGTAGTACTCGACCATACTCCAGATTTTTTGTTTTAAACGTTCGAACATGCTTGTTCAAGCTCCATTTCGCGACTTTTCAGCGAAACCACTGCACGCCAATACCGGGACCAGGGCCCCATAACGAGCCCGACAAACCTGAACTTGCCAAACTGATCTGGTTCTCGAGGTTTTCAAATGAAGATGAAAAACCATCATACCAGCTTCGGGTTTGCGGTCGAGAACCTTGAATTTGGCGCTTCATGCGGGTTGTTGCAGCTCATTCCAACTCTAGTCTGCACCTTGAAATCTCACTCATTCTACGCAGTTACATTTAGCTCTATGTGGTGTTGGTTGGGTTCCCCGCAAGGGGTGACAAAAGCACTTCTTCGCGTTTAGAAGTTCGACTGGCAGTCAGCCTGGGCAGGAGTCTCGGGCGTCGAGGTCGTCGAGGTCGTCGGGGCGGGTGTCACCGGGGCCTCCGTTGCGGGGGCACCCGTGACCGGGGCATCCGTCACCGACGTTGGCGCAGGTGTCGGGGCCTCCGTCTCGGCCTCACCCTGAACCATGTCCACGTCCTGAGTAGCGTTCTGCAGCGTTGTCGAGCCGCTCGTGGTGGCGCCGTCGCACTGCTCTGTTTCACCCGTACCGAAGTCCTGCGTCCAGTAGTGCTGGTATGTGCCTTCCTTGTTGAACGCGTACCCGGGGGCGAACATCGTGTACTCGCCCATGATGTTCTCCAGGTGCTCCGGTGAGTTGATCCACGCCACCATCACGGCGTCCACATCCACCTGACCGGCAGCCACGTTCTCAGCCACGGCGCTCCAGTCGTATCCGGCCTGCGTGATACGCTCCGACATGGACGAGCCGTCCGAGCCGTCGTGGGCCATGTAGTCCTTGATAGCCATGTCATCCGAGTGACGCTGCGCAGCGGTGTGCAGCTTCTTGTTGAGGCACAGAGGCGACATGCCCTTGGTGGCGCGCTGCTTGTTGACGGCGGCCAGCATGGCCGGAGCGTAGTCATCGTAGGCCGCATAAGTTTTGACGTTGGTGGCGATGGTGGTGCCGCCAAGTTTGCGAAGGTAAGAAGCGTCAGTGTTGGATGCAGCCGCCACGATAAGCAGCAGGGCAAACGAGGACTGAGCGATATTGATCATGATTATTTAAGTTGGTGATGTAGTTGAGTTGCTTTCGATGCGGTTGAAAGGTGGCAAGTTGAGAACTGAGACATAACTGTGGCCATGTCAGCAGTCGATCGATCTTGCGGTGACGAGCAGAACAGTGAGCTCCGGTCCAGCGATGGCTTTCTGGAAGTACAGTACAATGTACAGTGTACATCTGCCAGGCAAAGTGCCCCCCGGCCAATGTGGCACACCGACAAACAACCCTGGTTTTCGGTCGACAAGACATGTGGGCCACGAAATGGAGCCCACGTGCTGCAGCAGAAGATTGCAAAGGGCCACGACAATTGGCAACAGGGCGAACAGTTGGGGCTCATCCTCCGAGGTGTAAATCAGCGAACAGGGCGCGAGGACGCGACAGCTTCATGTCAAGCATTGCATTGTGGTATTGTTGTGTCAGCTGTCCAAAAACTTTTTTTATAAGAACTAAGTTTTTGTTAAGTTTATTAAATAAACTAAACAAACCAAGGGCGTGGAGGTATTATTTGTTCTCCGATGCCGTTTGGCGCCACAGCTACGGACACCCAACGCGATAGCAACGATAGAAACAATCGATAACCTTCGCCGCAGTGCCGAGTCGGCACTGCCGACGCACGCACGAAGCATCGAGCTAACGGCTGTCGCGAACGAAGACGTGAAAGCTCTGGAGCTCTGAGCTCCATTCGAGAGCGCTCCGAATGTTGAACTACTCTCGGCTTTGTGCGCTGCTCTGTGATGGTCTCGACTCGACTCGAGTCACAACGACTCAAGCGAAATGACGGTGCAATGAGACTACAGTGAGCGCAGTTTCTGTTCCTCTCGAACGATCAAGGCCGACAACTGTTTTCAACGCTCGCGGGGGAATACCACACGGGACAGACCAACGGGGCACCGCTGCGGTGGCCCACATATCTGCACCAGACGGACACCTTTGCTGGAGTGTGTGGCGGTGCAACCAAATGGCGTTCGTCAGGCTTTTATTTGACGCAAGCAACAGCTCAGTTCCCAACTTGCATCGAAACCAACTCAACTACATCACCAACTTTAATAATCATGATCAATATCGCTCAGCCCTCGCTTGCCCTGCTGCTTATCGTGACGGCTGCATCCAACACTGACGCTTCTTACCTTCGCAAACTTGGCGGCACCACCATCGCCACCAACGTCAAAACTTACGCGGCCTACGATGACTACGCTCCGGCCATGCTGACCGCCGTCAACAAGCAGCGCGCCACCAAGGGCCTGTCGCCTCTGTGCCTCAACAAGAAGCTGCACACCGCTGCTCAGCGTCACTCGGATGACATGGCTATCAAGGACTACATGGCCCACGACGGCTCGGACGGCTCGTCCATGTCGGAGCGTATCACGCAGGCCGGATACGTCTGGAGCGCCGTGGCTGAGAACGTGGCTGCCGGTCAGGTGAATGTGGACGCCGTGATGGTGGCGTGGATCAACTCACCGGAGCACCTGGAGAACATCATGGGCGAGTACACGATGTTCGCCCCCGGGTACGCGTTCAACAAGGAAGGCACATACCAGCACTACTGGACGCAGGACTTCGGTACGGGTGAAACAGAGCAGTGCGACGGTGCCACCACGAGCGGCTCGACAACGCTGCAGAACGCTACTCAGGACGTGGACATGGTTCAGGGTGAGGCCGAGACAGAGGCCCCGACACCTGCGCCAACGACGGTGACGGATGCCCCGGTCACGGGTGCCCCCGCTACGGAGGCCCCGGTGACACCCGCCCCGACGACCTTGACCCCCGAGACTCCTGCTCAGGCTGACTGTCAGTCGAACTTCTAAGTGCGAGAAGATACCAAAGCTACTTGTTGTACTGAGTAGGCGATGTATCCCCAATGCGGGTATATGAAATAAATGGACAGGTGCTCGGTCTCACGCGGCCGTCACCAGTAGATGTGGGAACCAAATAGACGCTTCATTTCTTCCATAAGACCCTCCCGTTCGTATCCGTAGTAGATAGCATAACGTCAAGGTGTCGATGCATCCGTGCGGCGAAATCGTGCAATTACATGGACGATTTGAGTCAACTTAAGCTTAGCGCTGAAGCTGCAGGGAACACTTGTTCGTATACATTCAATGTCATCGGATACTATTACGTCGTACTTCTTGTCCAAGCCTATCCACACAAATTCTTGTTCTTGTTGCAGACGATCTCTCTGTATTGGACACGACACTCTATGCAATTTGCGCCGCGTTCAGCCTCATAATTGAGCAAGGGTATGATAGATTTGGCTGCAAGATTGAAGCGTATTATAAGTTAACCAAAGCGTCTTTACAATTTTGTTCCTCCCCGAGAGCGAGAGGCTTTCCATCTTGCGATGGTGACCACGTGCATGGCATGGGCAGCAATTCCAGCGTCAGTGCCTCGACACCTCGTCCACTGTGCCACTCCACAATCGGACTGCGCGCAACGCTGCCAAACTGGTTCGTTTTCGCAATTCGCAATTTGCTCTCTCGGACACAGCGCATAGCACCACATACATTCCGCTCCAAGCATGCTTTCCGTGTCCCAGTTCTCGCTTGCTCTCTTGCTGGTCGCCGCCACGGCCTCCACAGATGCCATTCCGTCGGGCGACTACTTCTCCGCTATGCTGACAGCCGTCAACCAGGAGCGCGCAAAGCAGGGAGTGCCGGCTCTTTGCATGAACAAGAAGCTCCAGGCTGCTGCTCAGCGCCACTCGGACGACATGGCGAAGAACAACTACATGGCCCACGACGGTGCCGATGGCTCCACGATGTCGCAACGTATCACCCAGGCTGGTTACGAATGGGATGGCTGCGCTGAGAACGTTGCTGCTGGTCAGGAGGAAGTCGTCTCGGTCATGAAGGGATGGATCGAGTCTCCGGGCCACTACGAGAACATCATGAACAAGGACTACACCATGTTCGGCACGGCCTTCTCGTACAACAAGGACAGTACGTACGGAATCTATTGGACGCAGGACTTTGCCAGTGGCGAAACGGAGGCGTGCGAGGGCGGCAACACCACCATCCCGGTGACCCCTGCTCCCACGACCCCCATTCCCGTTAAGGAAATCCCCGAGGCTCCGGCCACATTCATCCCGAGCCAGGACGTCCCGGCAACGAAGGGCCCTGTCGTCACTCCGGCACCCACCACCCCTGCTCCCGTGTCTACTCCGGCATCGACGACTCCTGCCCCCGTGTCGACACCTGCATCGACGACGCCTGCACCTGTGGTCACCCCGGCATCAACGACGCCTGCCCCCGAGGCCACACCGGCTGCAACGACGCCTGCCCCCGAGGCCACACCGGCTGCAACCACGCCTGCCCCCGAGGCCACACCGGCTGCAACTACGCCTGCCCCTGAGGCCACACCGGCTGCAACGACGCCTGCCCCTGAGGCCACACCGGCAGCGACCACCCCGGCTCCCGAGGTGACCCCTGCTGCTACGACCACACCTCCTTCGGCATCCCAGAAGGATTGCGAGTCGAACTTTTAAGCAGAGCTTGTATGAAGAGTAGGTGAAGATGTGACCCATGCGTGGGTACGAAGAGAGAAATCTGTAAGCGACAAATATCTTTCGGTCAATACATCATTAAAAATTCCACAAATGAAATTTATGCCCACGAGGCAACACCAAGAAATCCTGATTGAAATTAATTGCGGGCGTCCTGCCCCCACGTCGTTGCGATCGTAGTCTCGTTTTACTGTTCGTAAGCGCAAGGAAAAGCTCACAGGCGAATTACTGGCGCCGGTAGTTTTTTTTATAACTGCAGAAATCATTCAATGAGCAGATAACGGTTTGTGGGGCTAATAACGGCCAGCGCACACAGGGGTTCCGAAAATACTATTTTTCTTAAATACTTTTGTATTTTAATCGAAAAATTATTTATTTTTAGATTTGCTTAGAAGGGCTGCAATATTTGTTTTGTGCTCTGTGTCACCAATAACCCTATTGCGAACCGGTCTCCTGAGACCGGTTCACAATCACTTCTTCGAATGGAGCACGTTCATCGATTGATGGCGCATCATCCTCCAACAATTTAGCATTTTTAGCTGGAGCAATACACTCACAGCCCATTGTCTTTTCTACTCAATACGATGCCTGCGAAGACCCCGTGGAGCGTTCCAAAGCCGCGTCGAAAGGCAGCTTCCGCCCCGCCCAGAGCGCCAAAGAATGCCAAGAAGGCCAAGACGTCGAAGAAGATGGTTCGCACGCACCCGTTCACGTCGAAGCAAGTGTCATCTTTCTATTTTACGGCTGTACTCGACGATGATGAAGAGCCTACTGCAGTATACAAGTGTCGCTGTGGTGTCCAGCGCCGAATGGAGCCTAACACTGGCTACACAAACCTACTTGGCCACGTCTTCATGTGGCACACAAACTTCGTTGCGGACATGACAAGCGCCAGCTCAAATACGAAAACGTTAGTTGGGCTCGTCGATGACAAGACTCACAAAGTCTTCTCTTGGATTGACGTTGTGCTCTCGTGCAATCTGCCCTTCTCGTTCTGTGAGACAGACGCGGCATCTAACTACGTAAGGATTGGGAGCCTTTCGACGGACAGCCTCGTGAAACACATGTGCCTACTAGTCCGTGAAGTTGAAACTGTGATCGCTGGTATTCTGCCAAAGTCGTTTGGCATCATTTTTGACGGGTGGACCTTCCGTTCAGAGCATTACGTCGCAGTCTTTGCATCCTTTCGCCACGATGGCAAGTGCAGAACATTTTGGTCGCAATGGCGCCACTTGTCGACGATGAGGTCAGCGACCACACAGCTCGCAGTCACGTTAAGTTTCTGGACACAATTCTCTCTTACTTTGGCCGGAGCAAAGCCAATATTGTCTACATTGTCGGAGATAATTGCTCCGTGAACGGTGCTGTTGCCGATCTGCTGCAGGTTTCGATGGTGGGCTGTGCCAGCCATCGTCTGAGCCTGGCGGTAAACTTGCTCCTCTCTGGCGACGATGAGCTGATCACTAAGATCCAGAAGTTGATGTACAAGGTGAAAAATTCGCTGTTGGTGTCCGCAAAGTTACGGTGGGTTAATTCGACTAATTTTAGTTTTCTGATATCTGATAAAAAATTTTATTATGCTAGGCGAAAAACACTTCTTCGACCAGTCCCTAAGCAGGACACTCGCTGGTCATCGACGTTTGCCATGGTGAACAGATACTTTGAGCTGAAGGAGTTCATCAGTGATGACATTGAAGAGGAGCTGGCGGAGTTTATGCCAGCACGCCGAGAGGAAAAGCAGCTGAAGACGATCCTCAACACCTTATAGATGTACGAATCAACCTCTAAAAAGCTGCAAAGTGCGGACGACATAACGCTACTCGACGTGCGCGACCTCTCTGACGCGCTTATTGCTCAGAAACCCGAAGTCGCCAAGTACCTCCAGCCGACGCAGAGATCGTCAAGAGTCCTGTCTTCGAGCGAGCTTGTGTTAATGTCCTGCTGGGTCGTGAGGGATCGCTGTCTGACGATGAGAAGACTATGCTTGAGCCGCTAGCCCCGGAAGACGCTCCTCCATCGAGCTCGTCGGAGACAGCAGCGCTAGGTAAAGATTTTGCCGCAATTGCGCTCGAGCAGGCGAGACGACTTCGTCAAACTACTTCACGCTTTAGCGATCAAGTGTCTATGATTGCTCCGACTTCCAACATCGTGGAGAGATTCTTTAGTCAGGCGAAGGCAGTGGTTGGCATGCACCGCCAAGCCATGACTCCACTGCATCTCAAGAGTATCCTCTTTTTAAAGGTGAACCGCATGTACTGGAGCGCAGCCACTGTGCGCAAGGTCGTTCGGGGAGCGCAATAATTTCTTAATACTTATTCTCCATGCAAACTCCTATATATTTCTTGCAATATGTTCAATTATTGCAGGCACCTCTGACGACCAAATAGGTAAAATTATTTGTATTCCAGCAAAATATAAATAGCATTTTCGGAACCCCTGATCATGCATTGCATGATGCACATGTATGGTGTACAGGATCTAAATTGTCGCCGGGTTACTCGCACAGCCTCTTCTTTTGAAGATCGGGTAGCCATTGGTGAGCCGCAAACGACATCATTACCACCACCTCGTTTCACAGGTCGGAGTTCAGTAAGATGTCGCTACGGCCGTAAAGCAATATTAGACCCAAATGAACTCTGGCACTGAAAACGCTTGGGTACGGGTGTTTCCGGGGAAATCGCGTTCGCCGAACACGAGGTCACTAGCTAAACCTCTTTTCATGCTGATTTCGTCGCACCGAGCAGACCGAGTTACAGTCTGGCGATGACAGGCGACTCGAAACTCGCAGAGTAGTAAATGGACCCATGGGTGCACTCTCGCGTTGCTACGACAACAACGACTACCGGTGTTTGATGTAGCATTCTTGGAGGACATGCCACCTTTAGATGAAATCCACGGAAGCTCGACGACAGGCTCACCTCAATGCACAGCTCACTCTGCTCAAACTCTCACATCTCAATTTACTACCGAGCTCGCAAGTGCAGCAACTTTCGACGAAGCCTCATCAGAAGAACTGGTATCCTGCAACATGCTCGTTCTCCGGCCTTTGATTTCGTACTTGCTCGTCGCCACTACGGTAGCAGAAGCTACCAACCTTAGACAAGGGCAACGGAACTTGCAGTCTTACACCTCGTCGGACGAATACCTTTCCGCCATGCTCGCTCGTGTCAACCAAGAGCGAGCGGCTCACGGATTACCAGCGCTGTGCACCAATAAGAAGCTTCAAGATGCGGCTCAACGACACTCGAACGACCAGGCAGCTAGCAACTTCATGGGCCACACGGGCACCGACGGAACGAGTGTTTCGGAGCGTATCACACGAGCTAACTACGACTGGAGTGCGGTGGCCGAAAACGTTGCCGCCGGCCAAGCCGACGTCGATTCCGTCATGGAGAATTGGATGAACTCTCCCGGCCACCGCGAAAATATCCTCGGCGACTACACCATGTTAGGCTGTGCCTACGCGCACCACGCCGACACGACGTACCAACACTACTGGACCCAAGACTTTGGATCGGGTGAAGCTGAGGCGTGCGATGGTGGAGTAGTTGTCACCGAGGCGATTGAGGAGGCTCCGGTTGAGCAGGCCCCGGTTGAGACGGTCACCACTTCGGTGGATGTACCTGTCACAACCAACAGGTATAACACCTACTCTTACGTACACGCTGTCAAAGATACTTACGCCCCTCACACTGATCCCCCACTTCCGTACGAATCACACAAGACCGAAGCTCCTGTGTACGTTGTCGAGACGACGGAAGCGCCTTGCACAACTGAACCTCCGATCGTGGTGGACCCTCTTCCGTACCCCCCAAGTGGTGACGTCGAGGTGACGGTTGCTCCTTGCACTGCATCACAAGAGCCCGAGACCCCTGTTGTGATTGTGGACCCTCCTGAGGCTTTCGACGATGCAACCGTGGTTGAACAGCCAGAAGAAACCCCTGTGGTCGTTGTAGACCCTCCTGAGGTTACTCCTACACCGGTGTACAAGAAGTACGGCACCCCAAGTGCGCACATCCCAGCGACTGGCAAACGCCCCTACGACGAGGACTGTGACCATGCTGGCTAAGGATTGCCGTGGACCTTT